GTTCATAGCAAAAGTAACTACAAACCTGGTCCACTTAACATGGCTTTGATTGTTTGAGAAGTAAGAGCAAGGTCACGTTTAACATAAAATTCATGTTCATCAGATGAGATCAATTTAACATACATATCGTTCGGAACTGCATTATTAGGATTAGTTGTATCTTTTCCGATTGTTGTCATTATGTTTGTTTTTGGCTCGTTTCGATTTACAATATCAATGATTGTGTTTTTTGTTTCTGAAATTATTTTTTTTCCGCAATAATGAAATACGAAAGTCGTTGACTGACTTGATTGTGTTGCTATATACACAGAAAAATTTATAGGTTGCTGAAGAGACCAGTAAATATTTAGGAAATATATATATTTATCGATCTCTAGAGCCATCTTTTGTAAGAGAAAAAAATAACTAAATTTTAATTTGCTACACAAAGAAAAGAATCAATATTAAAGTTTAAAAATCAAAATATATAAGATATTTTAACAGTCTACTGTGAAGAACAATGTGAATACTTCTCAAATAGGTCAAGTTATTTAAATACTGTTTTTTTTTGATATTATAGTATGTTCTTTAAAATATTATTTAATATGATTTGATTGATAAAACGGTATTCTAAAGAATTACTATCATATCTAAGAAATGTAAATTTATTTTTTTCGAAAATATTAAAAAAATGTTAGAGAAAATTCATTTATAAATCAATTTATCTTCGTTATTAATTGTCATTTTGAATTCAAGTAGATTTTTATTCATGTCTGATTAAGATTTGTTTTTACTTTATATCTACCAATAAAATATTTCAATGAAAATTAATTTTGTCAGTAAAAAATAAATGCATTTGATTTTTAATGCTTTTCAACCTTAGTATTAAAGTTTGACAACTTTAATTCGATTTGGTGAATCTTCTACGTAAACTTATTTGAGATTCAGTCATCATTCGATATGCTGTTGTTTATACAATCAAACATACTGTTGTAAAAACCGGAACATTCGTTAGTAACTCATTCTCAGAAGTATCATGAATTTTGTCTACTTTGTCTTCTGCAATTTTTGAAGGTCGTTTTTATCAGTTGGTCTATTTAGTGGTAGAAGTGTAGATCGATCGGTAGAGCTACCATCACCAATGCTTCAGCGATTCAGTAGTATCGCCACTATCTCGGTACGAACATAAATATTTGATATTTTTATATTTCCCGCGTCTTAAATTAATTTTTGGTTATCATCTGGTTTCTTCAGTTAGCTCTTTACCATCGTTTTCTTTCGTTTTTTATTTTAAAAATTCTTGAAACTAAGAAAAATTTTTCAAAGCTCACAAAAAAACTTTAAGCGGCCGTCACCGATCAATGTATCGACTTACACCTCTATTTACTGCTGTATCAGTTTCAGAAAAGATCAGAAAAATATCCATAGTACAGTCAACATCTGGTGTTTGTATGCCAAACTCGATTTGGATTTTTCTTTGTGTAACGATAAATAGTTCAAATGTGGTTATGAATGAAACTATTTATATTCTAATGTCACTAAACAGAGAAAGAACATGTGGCGTTAAGGTTGTTTTCTTGCCCACAAAATATTTCGGTTATTTGTGTTAAAACCAAGTCGACATAGACTCCTGATGATATTTTAAAATTTTATTTTGAAATATCTCTCAATCAATTTGTCGACCTATACTCGTACTCTCCTACGGGGTGTTAAAAATAGATCTTATCCATCCCTGTGGGGGTGTACGGGTATAGATCGAAAAATCAATTGAGAGATATTTCAAAATAAGCTTTTAAAATATCATCAGGAGTCTATGTCGACTTGATTTTAATACGAAAAAACGAAATGTTTTGTGGGCAAGAAAACAACCTTAACGTCATATTGCCTTTATCAAAAAATATATAGAGTAAAACTTCGAGAAACATAGTATCATAATATTGAAAGAATAATAGAAATCACTTAAAATGATACAAAGATATTGACGGTTTTTTTCCGGTGGTATAATGATTCTAGTAAATCGCAGGTGTTTAGTCGACTTCTTTACAGCAAACAAATTTATGGAGCATATCAAAGATATTGATTTTTAAAGATAAGATCAAATAGAATAGAGAATATCAAATTTTTGCTTTGGTAGAGACTCGATTCGTTTGATCTTGGACTAACGGAATATAGATGTGCATATAGTTGCATCGACGTATAAAACGTGCATTATGGAAAGCACTACTAGAAACATACGAAAGACAGTTTGATATATAAGAGAGATTCGTTTCATAAAACTAGTTTTTCCATAATATAAAACTTAATTTTTATCTGTATGAGAAAAAAAAAGAAATTTTGAGTATACTACACTTGACTAATAAAGATCAGTTTATATGTGCAATATTATTAGTTTTTCAACAGACATTTTGTCAAATTTTGGTTATCGTTTCACTGTTATAATTATATTAGTTTTTGTTCTTTAATATTATTTCCAAAAAATTATTGTTAATCTCCAATGACAGCTAAGTACAGTGGTTGAAAAATTTTTATTTTTCATCCTTCCAAACTAATCCAAACACTTTGCTTTGCAAACTGGTGCGTGCTTATTCCGAATTTTAATTTACTGTATGATACATTATTTAAAAGTATCAACTGCACTCTACATCAGAAGTACTCTTCATTGTAGCTTTCCTTTAATTATGAATTTAAAAGGAATGCCTTTGTGATCTTTACTGAAAATTTTCAGTAACAAAGTGACAAAACAGAATTTTGTTTCATATGATGGTTATCCAATTTACTATTCAATATGGTATTAGTAAGAGTACTACAAATTGCATGAAATATTCTATTTTAATTGATAATTAATGTTCGAAAATTGTGTTGATCGTTTTGCATGCATAGATCAATCACAGATAGGTCTTCTTATACAGTATCATTCACGCATTGAAAGAGATATTAAAGGTAGTTGTAAAAGCATGAATTGTAAATGTTTAATCGTACAAAACTATCATATTTCAAATCAAAGTCGATATATCACTCAATAGATAGACCTTTGTTACGCTATACATAGCAGCAATCAGAGGTTTATCGTAGTATCAGCAACAATCTAAGTACAGATTTTATAAAATACGTACCTAGTTTTTGTACATCACTTCTATGTAGATGGAAGATGAAGTTTAGAACAATGTGCTGCAGTAAGGTTTATTTGATACATCTTTGTTTAGCTAAATACAGGCCTCGCAGCGTGTATACTTTCCTGATTTTTTCCTGATTTTTTTAAAGGTGTCCTGATTTTCCTGCTTTTGACTGAAAAACCTGCTTTTGTCCTGATTTTTCAAGATTTATCTCTGTAGGACCAAATATAGGTCATTTTGATGTTTTATTTTGTTATACTCAACGTTTCTTAAAAATTTTATGAAAATATTTGTTGAATATTTTCTATAAAAAGAAAGATGGTACTCAAAATTTTATTTTTTCCATTTTTTTCTTGTAATCACTTTAAGAATCGATTATTTCGAATTAATTGGTTTTTGAAAGCAGCTATTTTATCATTAGTAATTATCACCAGTACTACGGCGGTATTTATATCATACAGTTCACGACCGTGGGTAGCTGCATTAAATCTTGTATTCCTTTATTTTAACATTTTAGTCGATTTACTAAAGTTTTCTTGTAAACGCTTTTGTTCGTTTATCTATAACATGGTGGTTTTATATGTGCGAAGAGCGGGGATATGAAAAAGAGGAAAAGTAGCAAAGAGGGGAAGGAAGTGTTATGCAGGGAAATGGTTTGAGTGCCGAAAAGATGGTTATAGAACCCTAAACACTGCGAAAATGCGGATTTTTCTTATTTCTTTTTACGGCTATTTTCCTGATAAAAATGCGGTTTCTATTAGAAACAAATAAGACTCCAATAGTGAAGGATGCCCCCTTCTGTAGGCCACGTATCTGAGAAAAAGAAAACGTATATACAATGCATAATTAGAGATAGCGAACGAAAAGGAAAAAAAGCAAAACTCGAAACACGTATTCGGCGAAATATAATATAGTAATTTCAATGAACTATCATTCATCGAGATACTTTTGTGCAGCTTACATCCTGAACAATAGCACTATGATAAGACTTAAAATGTCCCGATTTTAATCGAAATTCCTGATTTTTTTCTAAAATGTATCCTGCCTATTTTCCTGATTTTCAGATATAGACCGCTGCGACCACTGACTTAAACCATTTACAATAGTCATATCAATAGTATTGTCCATTACTGAACCTAAAAACATAAAATAGAAAAAAAAAAAGGTCGAACAAAAACAAGACATTTCTTATTATTTTGAATACTAGTTGTCGTACTCATAAATGATGTTGTTCTTGATAAAGAAACTTGATTTGTTTCAATAATATCGAGATATCTTGATATCATTAATACCGATGCAAAATAAACAATAGATAATGCTAAAAATTGTGATTGTTTTGTATCATCCTAAATAATATGTATATATATTTAATTTTATTAAATAAGATAGAATAAACAATAACAGAACAATTAATGCAACACAAAATACATAAAGCAAAAGAACGAAAGAAAAAAACTATATTGCTTAAACTTATCATGACAATGACAATGTTTTTGCCAGTTTTATTTCGATTTTGTCTTACTACATCAAGATAGATAATAGCATGTAAACGTTGAACATCAATATCTTGTAAAACTGATTCAGGATTTTTAAATAAATGTTGCAAGTAAATTTTCAATATTTTCATCAACATCATTTTCTTGTGATGGTGAATTTAATAACTAAGTTAATTCAATTATTGATTCAATTAGATCTTTTATTGGAGGTTTTGTTTGTGATGTTGATTCAAAAGTTTTTGATATTAATGATCGATTAAATCGTTGAAAACAATATTTCATACAATGACAAACTGCTATTGTCATTGCTACGAAAATACACAATATATTTAAAAGAAAAATTTTCTAAAAGAATTTTATTACTTAAACGCAAAGACATTGTCTTAAAATTTCACCATTTGGCATATTTTTTTTATTGTTTAAGTTCAAAAAAATTTGAACTATTTGCAAGAATAAATAAATCTGCTAAACTTATAACATGTTCTAAGATTTTAATTGCATTGAATGGTGATAAATCTTCTGTATTTTCTAATATTTCAATTTCATGCTGCAAAAAACACACACAAAGAATAAAATTTATAGAAATTATAAAAATTAATTTTACTGATGCTGATATTGCACTAGCAAGTAATGGTAAAAGACCACCACATACATTACATAAAACTTCAGACATTGGAGATATAATATGTACAACATTAGCACAAAATATTTGATGATTTGAATGATTAATAAAATCAGCTATTGGTTTAGTTGATTCACTAGAAAGAAAACAAAATTTTATTTTAAGATTTTTGTTTTTAAGACGTACGATTTTCATGCACGAACATCTGTTTTGATTGAATCGAAAATACTATGTAACAAACGTATATGCATTGAAGAATATTTAAATTCAGAAATTGTATATGGTGGTAATTGATTGTTTTTTGGTGAATACTTGACGATTAGAAGTTCATTCTTAATAGAAGAAAATATATACATCATTTAGCTGAACGCAATCTTGACGAAAATCGTCACTTCACTTTATTAAATAACTGGTAACTAGAGATTGGTAAGTTCAGTTCTGAGCAACTGATGTATCTGAACAATTTGGCTTCTACTAATGTACATCATGTAGATATTAATAAGCTTAGAGAACATTGAAAAGAGTTTGGATATTTACTGTATTGTTGCGGAAATAGTGATTTTTGAATTTCGACTTGAAACTTTGCATAGAGACAGATGTTAATGCAAATACGAATTTATCATTGACATGTTTTATGATAGAAACAACGAAAAGTGCTAAAACTTCCATAATGAGCTATTCTTGCAAATGCCTATCTTTATGCAAAGTTTAAAGTTGAAAATCAATATTTCTGATGTTCCTTCTAATGGACTATGATATTGACTTAAAAGAGGCTATAAAAAATGCAGCATCTTCATTGTAATAAGTTAAGCAGTAGAATTCTGTTCCAAATATCCATAACCCATTAGGACTTCCATAATGCTGACTCAAGAGCAATCAATCAGTTGAGGAAGGTCTTTCGTCAGTTCCAAGAACTGAACTTTGAACTAGAAGCCAATCGACTTTCAAACCAATCGACTTTCAAACCAATCGAGATGTGCAATCAAATATTATTTCAGCTTTTGATTATAGATGTGAGTCGATCCATTGAACAGAGAAAATTATGGTAGAGAACTTTTTCTGTCGTGACAACTATTTTCCTTTTTCTTCCGAATATATATTTGAAATCTTGTTATTTTAAGGTTCCAGTTCGTTCGTATTATCGATTATTAACATACTAGTTAGTCAGTGTTGTCACTGATTGTCCCTCAATTGGTGTGTATGGACCGCTTGCTGTCAGTGTAGAAACCGGTGTTTTTTTGCTAAACATTTTATAAATCAAATCAACAATTACTCTATAGAAAAAAGATTCTTACATCATTTTCATCATTATCTATCATATTTTCTACCATTTTATTAATTTTTCGACAATAATTTTTTTTTGTTACCTAAGAATAAAAATAAAAAAATTTATTTCAAAAGAAAACTATTTTTAATTTATTACTCGTCCATGTAAAATTGAAAGTGTATCAATCCCAACTCTCCATCCACCAAATTCAAATTTAATAGCATGATGTAATAAAATTTTTGATAATTCAAAAACTCGATCAGTTACAGCTATTTGTTGATCATTTGATGGATAGACATATGCAAGACCAAGTAAATATTCTTGCCAAACAGAAATTTGTAAAATAATTCTTATGAGAACAAGAAAACAAAACTCGAAAATTTCTTTTTAACAAAAGACATGAATAATTTTTACCAGCGATTTTCTCGACTTGCTGATGAAAGTAAAATCACATCATCAAGAAAACGAGATTTTATATCATATAAATGAATATTATCTGGTGAATTTCGAAGTAATATTGCTATTACTTTAATCATTGCTAAATAATAAAATCAATCTTTTAATTTATTATTTCAAAGATTAAATATTTTTTGTTTACATGGATGTTCAATTTTCCAATCACTAGTAATTTCTGCATTACGTTTTTCTACAAGTATCTAAAAACAAATAAACTCAAAAAATATCATTTGATAATTATTTATTTATTTATACTTCAAATAAAATATTATTAGTTTACATTGTAAAACTATTTGGATAAAGTAAAAGTCAATCAGTCAATAATGAAAATAGATTATCTGGTTGCATAGCATCCGTTTTACATCTGTAAAAAATAAAGTTCATTTTTTTTTCTTTTGAAAAAACAAAAGAAGTCATACTTATTTGTACTACGCTGAAGAAAAAATCCTAATGATTTTAAAGCTTGTAAACAAATTACTTCTTTACTACTTGCTAATAATTTAAATACAGTTCTTAAAGAAAAATAAATAAATTGGAATAATGTATTAATCAAGAAGATAAAAATTAAATATCTACCTTATTCTTTGTCCACGATCAAATGCAGGTAACATTGTTTTTGGATGTGCTGACATAAGACTTACAACTAAATCTAATACAACAAGTAGATTTTCATTCTTGAAAAACAAAAAAGAACATTATTTAATTTGAAGATGTCGAATTTTGTCATTATTTCATTGATTGTATGAAGATAATTAAGTATAGCTTGCAACTCTTCTTCTTCTTGTATACCTGGACTACTTATAACAAGTTGTTTCATATATAATAACATATAACATCGCATTTCAATAATTTGTTGGCGTGTTGGTCGATTATCATCTAAAATTTATTTTTTTTTAATGGAATATTTTTCGAAAATATTGTTAGCATAATAGCCTCTTTGGAACGACTTCATGACAAAAGTCAATTAGAAAATGGTTCAAAATTTTTATATCTTATAGAATGAGACTTTTTTCAAAGAATATATCAGTATATATAAAGTTGATGCAATAAAAGTTTCGAAACTTTAGTCTCATAGTTTGACTACAGGTAGAGTATGTTAAACTCGAATCGTAAGAACTAATAAGGATTTGAACGAACTTCATACGGAAGAGCTGAAAGATCAATATAAAAAACAAATCTAATGATGTTCGAATAGTTGTGTGTACTGCGTCTATCACTGATTAAAAACTCCATGTCAAGCAGATTAATAAAGTATTCTTGAGGTAAGATTCACATATCTTCGATCAATTCTAAAAAATTTTCCAGTAAGTGCCTTGTTCTATCCAAGTTTTCCTTCAAAACTTCTTCAATCTTTCAAAAATAAATATTATTTTTCCTTTGTTTTTTGTTTACCTTGTTGATCTTCATTCATTAGTTTCCTATAAAGTCTAAAAAATTTTTCATCTAGTTTAAATCTATAGTGCTCAGGGAACTACACCATCATATATGATGGTGGTTGACTGAACGGTAAACAAGTGACAAGTGTCAATTATTTTCTTTTATTGCATTATGATAACGATCAGTGTATTACGATTCAAGGATTTGATTAACTCAAGTAGTACAATGTGTACCTTTATAATATTATCTATATACTCATAGATGTCACGAGTAACGTGTAACACAGAATTGAAGCCGGTCTGTCAATGGCATAAAAACAACAATTGAAATTGAAATTCATAGCATAATTTCATTTATTCCGTTTCTATTGGATATCGAACATTTCAAGATCGACTTCCATCCATCCATCTCAATTTAGATTAATGATGAATCATTCTACTTGTCGCTATTCGTTCTTTTCATATCAATCAAATTAAATTATTCTTAAATATATATGTATTAATAATACAATGAAATTTTTTAAAAAATTTTCTACAAAAAAAAAAAAAAACATTGAAAATAGCAGTAAAATTTTATCTTAGAAATCTAATCCAATCAGAAAAGAACGAGGTAAAAATTTAAGACAAAGGATTGTAGCCAGTGTTTCTAATGGCAAGTGTACACAGCGGAAGCAAAATGTACAAACATCTGCAGCTGTTAAAATACATGCTGCTTTACACTTGGTTTAAAAAGTAGCATGTACAATGTACATTTTGTATGAGAGATTTTAAATCTATTTTTGTTATTTTTTCTAGTTTTCGTTGAATCGCATTCTTTTTCTTACTCAGCTATCTTTTTTTCTTTTCAGATTTATGTCAGTTCAATCCCGATACTCATGTGATATCCGTGGAAAGAATTGAAAATTACAATATTCATTTTAATTTTGTTCAAATCGTACTCATGTTCCTACTGATGAAGACGATCATGATAGGTCTTGTGATTATTTCGGATTTTCGGAAACAGTAAACCGATCTTCTCATGTTTATGTACAGTTCTAATGTTGAGTTTTTGTGTGGTGAAACTTTATAAATGAATCAGATACAAATACCTTATTTACTTGTTTTCTATTTGCTTATTATTGATCGTTTTTTTTTATTGGGTAAAGCAGATACGAGCACTTTTTTTTAACCTTTCTTTATACTATATAAAACTTCAACACTGTACATTTTGTACATTTTGCTTATGAAAATAAGTGTAATTGTACACTTTGCTCATTTAAAACAGAGTGTACTGTACATTTTATTTTAGATTTTCATTAGAAACACTGATTGTAGCCAAGTTCTCTTGTCATTTTCAATCATGTGGCAATACATAAACACAACATTAGGTGAAGGTGCTTATAGCAAGCATGTAAACAATTAGTTTAGATATATATATATTTCAATATCTAGAGTCATTCTTGCTAAAAATATTAATACAAATGAATTTGCTGCTGTTAAAGTAATTCGTATAGATTCATTAAAAGGAACGAATATTGACATACAAGACGAAGTAATAATTATTTCTTTAGTTTTCTTTGTTTTTTGAAAAACAAAAAAAACATTTAGATTAATTTTCATAAATTATTTCAACATGAAAATATCATTCGATTTTATGATTATGAACAAAAGACTTCAATTTATTACCTATATCTTGAATATGCTGCTGCTGGTGATCTATTGAAGAAAATTGGTTTGAGATTAATCATAGAAAAATAAAACAAAAGAATCCTTTTTTTTCTTTCTTTCATAGAAATCGACGGTGTAATTCAAGAATATCGTGCACAACATTATTTTAAGTCTATGGGTTTTTTTAATTCAAATTGAATTTTGAAAAAAAAATAACAGCCCATTTTTTACCAAGACAGAGGAACTAAGGGGACTAACTAAGGGGACTAAGCTGACTAACTAAGGGGACTAAGGGGACTAAGGGGAATAAGGGGACTAAGGGGAATAAAGGGAATAAGGGGACTAAGGGGACTAACTAACCGGCCTAAGGGTAGGAATAATGGTGTACACAGAGACGTGCATGGGTCGCCGCTCTTCGGGGGGCGCTTCGCGCTCCCACGCCGCGGTGCTGAAATAAAAGGTGTGTTAGGTGGGGAAACACGCTTCCTCACTGAATGGTCCGCTTAGTCCCCTTAGTTCCCTTAGTTAGTCAGCTTAGTCCCCTTAGTCCCCTATTTCAATTTGAAATCAAGTGCTCTTTTTTCTTTTTAGATTCAGATTGAATTTAAATAACCCATTGTATGTATTTTAAACAAGTTCTTCGTGGAATGGTAGAAAGATTTTTGAAAAAAAAAAGAATTTCTTAGACTTTTTTTTTAGGCTTATCTGCATGATCGTGGTGTTGTACATAGAGGTTTGAGAATAATTTTTATTAGATTTATTAATTTTTTTTTATTAGATTTGAAACCAGAAAATCTACTTATTGCAGATAATGGTAAAATAATAACTAATAAAAAAAAATTTCTTATTTTCTATATTTAGATATTCTTAAAATCTGTGATTTTGGTCTTGCAGCACTTTTTATTGATCCAACAACAAATAAAAAAAAATGCTGACATTTTATTGT